TGACTTACAGGAAAACGCAGAGAAAGCAGCACATGTATTGTAAAGATGAAGTGTACCACAACAAAAACAGCCTCATTTCTCTCAAAGACAGCTTGTGAAGAGGGCTGGTCTTTGGAGAAATACTGATGTATCAAGCAGGAAAGGCTTGAGTTGGATTCACCCATCTATTCTTACATTGCTCTGAGTGTATATAAAATCCTTCCAGAGTTTATATGTGTGAGTTAAACTGAGAGAATTAAAGGAGTCTATGAAGTAATTTGTCAAAGTGCAGACTCACCCAGCTACGTCTGTCTCCCCTGTTATTATAACAATATGAAACCAGTGGGTAGATGGGTGGGTGGGTGGGTGTGGTGGGGGTGAAGACTTAGGCTTTCTTTTGGGAGGGGGGTCTGTCTCTATCTGTCTGTCTGTGGCGGCATGAGCCTGTCATTAAAGCTGCAAGTTAACAGTAGCTTTCATCATGCAAGGCAACCCCCTCCCTTCCCACCACACACACACACACACACACACACACACACACACACACACACACGCACGCTGGTTAACATGTTTAACCACCACACTGGGGAACAATGAGTTGGCACAAACTGGGGAACATGAGTCAGCGCGCTCACTCTCTCAAAAGGTCCAGAATATGTGCAAAAAAAACGTTTTAAACGATTGAAGTTCATTTTAGCTTTACTAAAAATGCCCCAAATGCGGTTATTAGTGGTCGTTTTGTTCTCAACGCTTTGACTTTTCTTTACTTTGATTCACAAAGAACTGAGTCAGTGCCACTGGTTTATTAGGTGAGGATAAACTCCATCTTCCTATTGCATTACATATATATTTAAAGTTTTGACGAAACACTAAAACAGGCCCTGTGTGAGATTCACAGCCTAGCTTCGCACAAACACTGGATTCAATGGGGACCTGATAGCCATAGCTCCCCTAAAACTAAAGAAAAGCATCCATTGTAATAGATTTATAACAGCTGAATTAATTCTGCTGACTATCTACTCCATGTCTCGACAAGTCTGACTTTTGGAAGCACTGCAAATGTGAAACAGCAATAATTCCAGCTGTTTTTATAACGTCAAACCATCTGTATGTGCGATGATGGTCAGTATCATCCTATAAAAGTTTATTGCAGCAGACAACAAACTCTGGTGCATGTGAGGCATGGAGATTTGTAACATTACATGACTCACTTGCCTTCTGATGACCTGAATGACCACTTTATAGTCTGGTTTGGTTTATAATTGTGGACAAGATCGAATAACTTTCTGATTCACAGCTGTAGTTTGCCCTGTGTCTCCACCTAGTGGTGAGAGTGTGTCCTCGCGGCTCATACCATCAGAACCCTGCTCTCCAGATCCCACTCACACACTTTACCCTGCTGGTTTTACTGGTGTTGTCTGTCAGGAAATCAGTTTCATTAAGTTAACCTTAAGGTACAAGAAGAGAGGAATTAGCTGCAGGTACACTGGGGGCATGTTTAAGAGTTTAGGCTCTCGCTCTAAATCTTAAATCACGATCTCAAAGACTACAAAACAGTATTGAAATATAATAATAATAATAATAATAATAGATTTAATTTGTTAGCGCTTTCACAGGTCCTCAAAGATGCTTTACAGATATAGTGAAGAGAAAAGAAAAGAGAAGAAAGGAACAACAAATAAATATATAATTAAAGTCAAATAATACAAAAACAATCACACATTAAAAGCCAGATTGAAGAGGTGAGTTTTTTGAAGGTGGTGAGGTCGGTGCAGTCTCTGATGGGTTGTGGGAGTGAGTTCCAGAGGGAGGGGGCAGCGACGTAGAAGGCTCTGTCCCCCCAGGTCCGGTGATTGATGTGGGTGGGGATGGATAGGAGGTTGGCTTCTGATGAGCGGAGGCAGCGGGAAGGGGTGTGGTGGTGCAGCAGGTCTGTGGGGTAGGGGGTAAATATGATCATTTAACTGGTGTTACTTCCTCAAGGAGGTCTTAGTGAGGGTATGAAAGAATGGAGGTAAAACCCAACATATTGTCTGTGAAAATGCTTTCCTTCCTTTCCTTTATTAATGTATTAGTTTCTCTCTCCTCAGGTCTCTCCTACAGCAGCTGCAGAAGCTTCAGTCTCTCGTTTCAGGGAAAGTCCTCCCTCGCTCTTGTAAAATTGCCACTACTCAAACGGGGACATGCCTCATGGTAAGTTACTTTATTGACGCCAGTGTTTCTCATCATGTTAATGAGGTGTTTTTTGTATTGATGTCCTTGTTTGTGTCACTATCTGTGCAGATGGTGGCCGTGTGTTTTGTCCTGGTGTTGGGCTCCTTCTCTCCCTGCTTCTCTCCTCTCTCCTTCCTCACTCACACCTCTTCCTCTTTGTCCTCATCCTCCTCTTCCTCTCATCCCTCCTCCTCTCCGCCTCTCCTGTCAGCGGACCTCTACACCACCAGTCAGGGTAGGTCTGCAAACCTATTAGTCAACATTACCTGTAGATATGCAAGTACATGTTAATTAAGATTAGGACTATTAAACACCCGAACTTTTGAAAGAACATCCATACTAGGGATGTCCCGATCACCTTTTTTTGCTCCCGATCCGATTCCGATCATTTGATTTTGACAATTTGCCGATACCGATTTTTCCCGATCCGATCTTTATGCAATGCATTAAGGAGAAAAAAAGCATTCAAGTTGTCCCTTAAGGTTATTTTTTTATTTAAAGGATATTCTATCCAACATGGATATAGCTTCTTTTTTTCACAGCAGCATTGGATCAGTTCAGTTGTGCAGCATTGGATCAAAACTAAATAAAGCTTTCAGTACTCGTTAGCTTACTGCTACAATTAGACACTGCGCCCTGCCCACTCTGTTGCCAGATTTGAGAGAAATAAGCAACCAGGTCTATGAAAACAAGCCCCAAAGAAGCAACACATCCATGATGTTCTGTAATTTGAAACCAAAACTACGGCCTCAGGATGATTTTAAGACCTTTGAACATGGTCATTTTTGTTTTGTAACATTGAATACAAAATTAAGAAAAGTATTTTAAAAAAAGAAAAAGAAAAAAAGAAATCCCGACTCCCCTGATTTTTTTCATCCCGTTTCCGATCTTTTGAAATCACGTGATCGGCTCCGATCCCGATCACGTGATCGTATCGGACATCTCTAATCCATACACATTCATCAGTCTGCATCTGCAAATTATTTGTCAAATATATCATATTCCATTTTACTTCAATAAGACTCTTCTTGCACTTATTTGTTTATATGTCCTAAGCACTGTTGGAGGAGCCTGTGACTTACGTTTTCATTGACATATCTACACTGTAGCTAATGGTACAAATGACAAATAAAGCCATCATTTAGGAAATAAATGTTGCTCCAAAATGGAAAGCATGTAAAGAATGAATGAAAAATGAAGGTCCCAGAGTTTTTTCCTTATTGATAATTCTTTTAGACAGGTAAACAAAAAAAGTTTTTCCTCAAAAAAACTTGGGAGAAATCTTGAGTATCAAGACTTTCACTCTTTGCTGCCATTCCACCTCCCTCTGATGTACCTTCCTTTAAACCACTTAGCTTCAGGAAACCCCTTTTATAACCAGATGTTTAAAGTTGTCATCATGCTAAGTACCACTCCTTTCCTGCCAGCAGCCGTCCTCTGAGGGCCAAAATAAAAACTCTGCTCGACTGTTAACCATCAGAAGCTAAACCCTTGACCCGTCGAGGCTGTCCCCAAATCATTAACCTGTAAACAAATAAAACAATAATGCTTCCTAAATGAGACAATGAGAAATGAAATCCAGTGTTTGTGTTGCAGTCCCGTCCGCAGCTGCTCTTCTACGACGAAGGGTCTCCACTGGAGGAGAGTTTATCTCCATCAGAAGCAGAGAGGCTACAGTCAGAGTAGCCACGCCAGAACCTAGCAGAATACACAGCGGAGCAACCAGACCACGGGCCCAAAAACAGACGCAGGTACAAAAATATTCTCGTCTTTTAGGGTCAGAAAACGTCCTATTAGGGTTTTGCAGGTCTCAACATACCAAAATCTTTAGGTGGCTGCTGCTGCAGAGCCCCAGTAACACCTAATTTGGAATGCTAGGGTTGAAAGGGCTATAAAAGTGTGGGAAATAACTGAATGTCCTCTTCCAATTATCAGAGTCCACATGCTAAGCAAAAGGTATCCCAAACTGTAAGCGTGAACATGAACACGGATGTGTGAGTACCTAGAAGAGCATTCAGGACAAGTTTGAGGCATCGTGAATAGCTATAGTGATTAACATAGATGATTCAGCCTCTTGGAAGAGAAGACATACTGACCAGTCATGATCATTTCGTGACGTGAGCCCCTAATCTGAAGTAAACATTGAAGACGCTTCTATTCTCCATCCTTGTGAGCTGAAAAGTCGGAATTTTTTGAAAAAAGTCAGAGTGTTTAGATTTTGTGAAAGTCAACATTGTTTAGATTTTTGAGAAAAATTCAGATTTTGAGAATTGAATAAGTTCAGATTTGTGAAAAATTCAGAATTTAGAAACAGTCAGAATTGTGAAGATTTTTGAGAAAAAATCAGAATTTTAATGAAAAAGTTAGAATTTTGATGAAAACTGTCTCAAGTTTTTTAGATTTGAGAAAGTCCGCGCAATTTTGAGAAAAAATCGCAACAAATTCTTCTCTTTTTTGTTTTGACTCCAGCTTCCATTCTGAAGAGGATAATCAAAACATGGCCTAATCTGATAGTAAACATCTGAAGTACGCTGCTTTCTATTCCTCCATTCTTGTGACTGTATACTCCCCTCTCTAAGGATATCAGCAGTGAAGGACACTGTTCAGGAACTAGTTATGCTCTGTGTGTGACTTCCATTCTTGAGAGGATCAGAAAAT